ATGGGGCAGGACAATGCATGTGGGAGACTTGTCGCAAGATCCCAGCCCCCCCAAGTGTTCGCCCGAAGGGTGTGGGGCCGCGTTGGCTCCCTCAAAAGGCCGTCTTGGAGCCGTCTAGGCCCGTCCTGAGGGCGCCGTTTGCCGTGATGGGGCCGTCTTGGTTCGTCGTGGGCACCTCATGCGCGCGTCCGTAGGCCGTCCTGGGCCCATCGGGGTCCTTGTTGGCACTATCGTGGGGCTGTCTTGGAGCCGTCTGGGACCGTGAGGGGGCCGCCTTGGAATCGTCTTGGGCCCCTCCTGTGCGCCTCCTTGGGCCGTCCTGGGCCCAGCAGGGGCCGTGTTGGCACCCTCTTGGGGCTGTCTTGGAGCCGTCTTGAGCCGTCGCAGCGCGCCTTGGGTTGTGCTGGGTCCGTCTTGGCCCGTCTTGGGGCCTTCCTGGGCGTTTCCTCGGATCCTCCTGGGACTTTCTGGGGCCTCTTGGTGCATCGGACCGCCGAAATGGCCGGAAACGCTAAGGGTGTAGCAGTAAACAATGGAAAATTAAAGATTTTTGCCAGCTGGGGCTCTCTCGCCGTCTTGAGCGCGCCTTGGGCCGTCCTGGGCCCGTCTGGGGCCGTGTTGGCACCCTCGCGGCGAGGGAGCTCGGAGGCGGGCTCGAGGCCTCTTTGGGGCCATTTTGGAAGCTGTTTGGGCCTCTGTTGGGGCCTCGTTTGGGCTCCTTGGGAGCCTCCTGAGGCCTCTTCGGGGGATTCTTGGCGGCTCCTTGGGGCTTCTTGGAGGCCTGTTTGGGCCTCCTGGCGCCCTCTTGGGGCGGAAGGCTCGGATTTTCGGTCCGTGGTCCCCCTCTTGGCCCCCTCTTGGGCCTGTCTTCAGGCCCTCGTGGGCCGTCTTGAGCGTCTCTTGGGTCGTCTTGGGGCCCTCTTGGGCTGTCTTGGGGCGCTCTTGGAGGCCTCTTGGGCCGTTCTCGGGCGCTCTTGGAAGCCTCTTGGGCCGTCTTCGAGCGTCGGAAAGCGGAAAAGGCGAGAAAGCCAAAATCCTTCCAAAACCGTCGTAAAAAGGATGATTTGGGCCGCTCGGGGCCCTCGGGGAATACGCTTGCAGGCCTCTTGTGCCGTCTGGGCGGCCTCTTGGAGCGCTCTTTGGGCGTCTCGGGGGCTCCTTGAGCTGTCTTGGGAGCCTCTTGGGAGCCTCCGGAGCCTCTCCGGAGCCGCCCGGGGCGTCTTTATACACCTCGCCGCCCGGGGCCAGGGCGTCGGAGCAGCTCCCCGACCCCCGCCTTTCGCGCACGCGCGTATGCCTGCAACGTAGCAGAGACGAGGGCTCACCCGTGGACAGCGGTTACGCAATCTTCACGAAATGGCATGTGTTGCGGGCGTGCTTCCCAAAAGCTAACTGACATGATAACGTGGGGCTCGACCCTCGCATTCCGCGCATGCCACCGCGTGCTGCTGCTTGCTGCCGCTGTTGCGTGCTGCCAGGAGAGGATCGATGAGTCAGGATCGAGGACGTCGAAGGTCGAAGATGGGGGGAAAAAGTTAGGAGAGATCAGCGAAGAGCGGGGAGCGAGAAGGGAGAGAGGATGGAGATCCGAGTATGGGGGGGGGACTTGTTGCGAGTCTTTTGGGGGCCTCGTGGGGGGAGGCCTCTCGGGATGTCCCTCGGAGGCCTCTTGAGGCGTCCTGGGGTCATTCTGGGGGCTTGTTTGGAGCTTCTTTGGCTCACATGGGGCCCTGCAACGCCTCCTGGAGGCTTTATGAGCCTCGAGAGGGCTCCATCTGGGAGGCCCTCGGGGGCACCTGGGAGTTTTTTGAAAGGCTGCCTTAGGGTGTCTTGGAGCCGTGGGGTGCCTTGGTCCATCTTGGTGCGATCCTGGGCCGCCTTGGGCCCGCCTTGGGGCCATCTTGGCGGCCTCTTGTGCCGTCTTGGAGCCCTGTTGGGCCGGCTGGGAACTATGATATGCCGTCAGGCCGGCTTGGATCGATCTCGGAGGCTTCTCGGGCCGTCCTAGGCGTCCCGAGGCCTGAAAAAAAAGAGCATGCGAAAATAATTCGAAAACCTGGGGAAACTCCATGTCTCTTCACTGCTGAAAACCTTATCAGAGGTCCTCTTGGAGGGCCACCTGAGCCGACTCGGGACGTTCTTGGTTGGGCTGTGTTGGAGCTCTCTGGGGCTGTCTTGGAGCCCTGTTGGGCGGTCTAGCGCCGTTCGTGCGCCGCCTTGGGGCCATCTTGAGGAGTTCCAGGGCCGTCTTGGAGCTTCCCAGGAGCGCGCAGGGGCCGATTCGTAGGGCTGATCCGTAGACTTCTCTTCACGAATTACTTCTCACATGCACGGCACATGGCAAATCTGGGATGACTAACTCGACTTTTCGCTGTTCCTGGCTCGGCACGGCAAGACAGCGGATGAAACAAATCTGGGCGGCCAAGCTTGCTCATGACGTAGCACTGCGGATGCAGCGAAGGACGCGCCAGCAGAGAACATCAACGCGCTCCTGTTCGCGACACGACGTTCTGATCGCAGCACTCGCTGCACGTCGCAATTCGGCGAATAAAGCAAGGCACCGAGGCAAATATACGCGAGAGGACGTGCTGGTTCGCGGCACGGCTGCCTGCTGCGTCATTCCTGCTGCTGTCGCCGCTGCCTCTTGCCGCTGACTCTCGCTGGCTCCGCGAGCTGCTGCCGCTCGCTCCTGCTGCTCAGAAGCTCCGCTTGCTCCGATTGACTTAGGTTGGGCATGCTGGCGCCCCCGGAAGCGCGCCCGAAGACGCCTCTGGACTGAAAAACCCCGAAAACCAGGAGAGAGAGAGAGAGAGAGAGAGAACGAGGCGGCATGAATGTCAGCTATCGAAGGTCTGGGCAAATCTCGGCGCTGGACCCCCTCCCTGACGCCTCTGGCGTCGCCACGGAAGCCCAGCGCAGATCCAAGAAATCCGCGCGGTCCTGTGTATACACTATTTTTGTTACACGTTTATGTTAACAAGAGATGCTTGTCACCAAGGGGATATCTGGAGACTCCTGTGGCTTATATGTGCCATTCCTGGAACGTGTGATCGAAACGCTCCCGAGGTATCTCGGGCAATGCTCGTGCGTTTCCTGCATTTGCCATTTGGCATAGCTTTGGGCTCTGGACAACCAAGCGGTTTGATGCCGCTAAGGCCGGCCAGGCAAGCTTCCGTGTTTGATGCCCAACCCCTCCCAGGACACACCACATGCAGCCGGAAAGGCGATATGACGTCGGGCTTGAAGGTCGCCGCTCGCATCTCGCTGAGCAGAAACAGGGCCCGCTGCCACTCCTTGCATTTCTCGCACGCGCTGATCCCAGCGTTGTAGCTGACGACGCTGGGCTCCAACTTCAACTCGCACATCTCGCCAAGCAGCGACAGGGCCTTCTGCCATTGCCTGCCTTTCTCGCACGCGCTGATCCCGGCGTTGTACGTGACGACGTTGGCCTCCACCGTGGCCTGAGAGATCTCGCGTAAAAGCGACAGTGCCTGATGCCACTGCCTGCTTTTCCCGAAAGCGCTGATCGTCGCAATGTGGTGGCCTGGCCCTTTCACGCATAGTTGAGGCGCTGCGCGTGGCACCCCCAGCTCTGCGCCCCCTCGCGCTGTCCTCGCGCACCTGTGCTCTACAGGTGCACCAGGGGAACAAAAACGAGATCCTCGCTGGATGTCGTGCATCCTGCGAGGCCTTGGACGAACAGAATTTGAACCGCAGCCATGGCCAGGACACAGCGGCGTGGGCCAAAAGGGCCCGAGCCGCCACTGCTTGAGCTGGTGATGAAAGGGGAAAGAAAAAGGAGAGAGGAAGGGCGGAAGAAAGGAGGTTTTGTTGCATCTTCGGGGCACCTCGTCTGTCCCGTCGCGCCAAACACGTCGAATCCTTGTCAAACGCGTTGAATCCGTCTCGAGCCCGTGTCGAATCCGGAGCCGACCCACGTTGGGTACAATAACAAGCCGCAGTTTCCAGACAAACCAGGTCCCCCCGAAGATGCAACGTATATTGGGAGACTGCAGGAGGCAGGGGGGAGAAGAATGAAGAGGGGGCGGGCGCGAGCGAGCGAGCGCCGATACCGTTCCGCGCGCGCGTTGTAGCTCGCGCCTCGTGGATGCCCGCAGGGGGGGGGGACGTCGGAGGGTCCCCGACAAGGGCCGCAGCGCAGGACCCCGTCGCGCGGAGGCGCGGCCAGACCCGACCGGTCCGGCGCAGGCTGTGCCAGCCACCACCCAGCGAGCACCCCCCCTCGATGGAACCTCTGGAGGGGCTCGAAGAGAGGGCCAGCTGAGGCGACAGCGGCGGCTCCTCCGCTCGGCTGCGGCCCGAATCGAGCTCCATCGGTCCAGTGGCCACTCCCGCCGTGGAAGATCGACGCACATCGGCCCACGCTTGACCCACATCGGAGCAAGGTGACTCTGATCGGCGTGAATCTGCTCTACATCGACTTCAATCGGTCCTGACCCGTTTTTCGAAGCGGATCCAGCCGTGGCGACGAGAAGCCTCCGGGAAGCCCAAAGAGGACGAAGCACGCTAGGGAGGGCCGCGGTTGTCTCGACCGGCACTCCTCAAAGGAACGCGCACCTTCGCGCCACGGTCTCCATTGCAGAGGTCCTCCTGGGGAAGGCGCAGCACCCGCCAAACAACGTGCGCGGACGACGCTGAGGCCCCTGCAGAGGCGACCGCGACTGGAGGGAGACCTAGACGGCGACGACTCGCAGGGCGCCCGATGGACTTGGACGCCAGCAGAGCAGTCGATACGCTCCGTCCATTGAGACTTGAGAGCAGAAAAAAAAAGAATGCCTGTCGGGCGGTCACCATAACGGGGGAAACAGACGTGGGGGGAAACATCGCGCGCCGCTCCAGCACCTTCTGGGCCCGCGGAGGAAGGTTCGAGTCCGTGTAGGGCCACTCCACCCCGCAATCCCTGGTCCCCCCCGTTGATTGACCCCTCCGCTGCCGAGCGACCGAGCGCGTCAAGGGCAGAGTATGTAGCCTCCTCCTCCTCATCCTCGCACGCATTCCTTCTGGCAGTGCGCCCCTACGCCCGCAGCTGCCTGCCGCAGCGCCCCGCGCGCGTACTCGACGCTCAGGAAGCTTGCCACGCCTGCCAGCGTGAATTTCGGCTCGAACTCGCCTCGGGAGGGCCCCTCTGCACCGAGGCTGACGCGCACGACCCGGTCGCCGCCGAAGCGCGCCGAGAAGGCCGCTAAGACCTCGGCGGCGAAAGCGCCGTCGCGGTCGTCGTCGTCGTCGAAGCCGTGCGCGCCCCCCATCAAGACGTACAGCCGCCCGGGACGCGGGCTGCGCCCTTCGCCCAGCACCACGAGCTGGTCGTAGGACACGTCCGGCCGCGCCGGCGTGAAGGCGAGCACGGCTGCGGCCTCCGGAAGGCGCGCCAGGTCCTGCAGGGACAAGAAGCTGCATCAGCATGAACTTTCGGGGCCAAGCGCAGATCCAAGAAGTCCGCGCGGAGCCAGGAAACGCATGTGTTGAACATGTTCAGATTGCATATTTGGGGAACCTTGTCTGTCCCATCGCGCCTCCATCCGCGTCGAATACGTGTCGACTCCGCCTCGAATCCGCGTCGAATCCACGTCGAATCCGTGTGAATCCGCGTCGAGTCCGCGTCGAACATCCGCGTCGAGTCCGCGTCTCATCTGCGCTGGATGCACGTCCGACGCCAGAACAGAACCACCTCATACAGAACTGGCGAGGCCCCCCTGAGCTGCCATGCATTTCTGCTCCTCGAGGTCCTCTTGCAAGCTCGCGAGATGCTGCCTCCTCGCCGCCTCCGGCGAGCCCTGCCAGAGGCCGCCCGGGTGGGGTCTGAGCAGATGGGGGTCGGAGGATCGCGCCGCATCGCCGATGCATCGCCGATGCGTCGGCGATGCACCGACGGCGTCGGCGGTGCATCGGCGCCGTTGGCGTGGGGACAATCGGGCTCCACATCGAGCCGCATCGCCGATGCATCGGCGATGCGGAGCGATCCTTCGACCCCATCTGTTCTCGGCTGCACGCAGGGTTGACCCTAGGCAACAGGGACCCCTGGTGCGCGGCTTGCGGGCCGTGGCGCGCGATGCGACGGCAACGGCTTGCGGGCTTGGGCCTGGCCCCCGAGCGCCGCCCAAATAGGGGAACGAAGAATGACATAAGCATAAAAACTCGGAGGTCCGCGCGGATTTCTCAGATCCGCGCTGGACCCCCTGGCGGCGCCTCCGGCGCCGCCCCTGGCGCGCTCCGCACGCCAGGGAGGGGAGTCCAGCGCCGATCCGAGAAATCCGCGCGGATCTCCGAGTTTTTTATGTTTCTGTCATTCTTCGCCCCTCTACCAAAGCCGCACACCCTGTAGGTCACTCTGGCGAAGGATCCCTCTCACGTGCAGGCGATGCTCGGACCCCATCTGGGGAGGCCTAGAGACCTGCGCCTCCCCGGCCGAGCGCCACTCGAGGCCCGGCAGGCCCGCCTCGTCCCGCGACCACCAAAGCGTCTCCTCCCAGGGCTGGAAGGCAACTGGCCAGCAGGCGGCGCCCCCTTCCGCGGCAACTCGTGGGCGCCTCCCGCACCATCTCGCTGGCTCTCGTGAATCGAGCCTATAATCGACCCTGAGCGACGCTAAGTACGTCGACGCTACATCGACCCTCAGCGACGCTCAGTGGGCACGATCTCAACGACCATCACGCGCGAATCGACGCTCGTGCACTCTTGGGGGAACAAAAAGTGGCATAAACATAACAAATCGGAGGTCCGCGCGGATTTCTCGGATCGGCGCTGGACCCCCCTCCCTGGCGCGCGGAGCGCGCCAGGGGCGGCGCCGGAGGCGCCGCCGGGGGGCCCCAGCGCCGATCCGAGACATCCGCGCGGACCTCCGAGTTTTTATGCTTATCTCACTTCTTGTTCCCCGAAGAGTGCACGAGCGTCGATTCGCGCGGGATGGTCGTCGAGACTGTGCCCACTGAGCGTCTTATCTCCCTTCTTGTTCCCCCGACTCTATGGCAGGGGCTGCGAGAGGGTGTGCGAGGCTCCCGCGAGTTGCCGCCGCGAAGCCCCCGCCGTCGGGCGTGCGGGCCGCGCCCGCCGCCCAGTCCTGGCGGCGGGGCGGGGTCGCATCCAGAGCAGCCGCCCGGGGAGCCGGCCTCGGGCAGCCTGGCGTCTCGGCAGAGATCGATTCCACCACCACCACCATAAGGTGGAGGGTGGAGGGGGAGGGGTCCTCCTCCTCCTCCTCCTCCTCCTCCTCCTCCTCCTCCCACCTCCTCCTCCACCTCCTTCTTCTCCTCTTCGTCCTCCTCGTCCTCCTCCTCCTCCTCCTCCTCCTCCTTCCCCCTTCCAACTTATGGTGGTGGTGGACAACAGGCCAATCACAGTTGTGCCGGGAAGAAGGCGTTAAGAAGATACGGAACGCGACTGTGTCATGAGCCCACTCAGCGTACGCGATAACACGGATGGCCGGATCATAGTTCTCCCAACCCCATCCTCCCAACCCGCTAATTGTCCCCCTGGGTTTGTCTTGTGAGCTTCGGACTCTCGGGGCCACGACTGGGCCCGGGGAACGTCAACCAACGACTTGGGACGAAGAGCCCCGGTCCCGGCCCGGGGAAGTGGTCGCGAGATCGCCCCCCGCCCGTGTCTCGAGAGAAGCGAAGCGCCGGACTTCTGGGGACGTCCAGCGCTTCGCTGGAAGAAAGGTAACGCAACTCTCGCGCGCGGTTCCCCGCGCCTCCCATTGCCAACGTTCGCGCGGAGCGCCCTGCGATCGATTGTTGACCTTTGTCCGCCGTCGGCCAACGCCGACTCCACAATGAGAACGGGGGACCCGCGGGGTGGGAGGGGCCAAGACGTGGAACAAGCGGTGGCAGACGTTCCCAGCGGTGTGTGGGACCCCAGCGGGCGGTGGCTGTGGACACAGTCTATGAGTCCCAGGGGGGGGGGCCCGAAGGCGTCCACCTCCGCCGCCTGCCCTGGCCCCCGAAGAACAAGGCCCCCCGGGCGGTGGTCGTGGATCGAGTCCCCCGCCCCGGAGTCCAGTCCTGCACCTGGCCAGGGATCGGCCCAAACAGTGTCTCTCGCTTTCGTTTTGTTGTCGTTTTCCCCTCGTGCTCTGTCTTCCCCCCGCCTCTCTGCTGCAAAACGGCATCGAAACGACAACGGCGCACGAAGCCGCCAAGACACCGTTCGGGTCGACCCCTGCACCTGGCCGCCAAGGTGGACGCGGTCCCGCCCCACAAAGGCGGAGGCGCGCACCTCCCGGGGCCACTCGCCGTCCATCGCGACGCACTGGAGCAGCCCGTCCAGCAGGGTTCGGTGGCAACTCGTGGGAGCCTCCCACACCATCTTGTCGGCTCTTGCGAATCAACACCAACCGACGCCAGCCGACGCTGAACCGACGCTGAACCGACGCCAAACTGGCGGTATACCTCATCGACTCCCAGACGCTAATCGACGCCAAAGACGGAATCGACGCTGAATCGACGCTGAATCGACGCTGAATGGGCGCTACCTCATATCGAATCCCATACGCTCATCGATGCTGAAATTAAAAGATGGTATCTACCAGGCTCCCGCGATTTGCTTCCGAAGCAGGGCGTCCCAGCGGCTCAACACGCTACCGCGGTCCAGGGACCTAGAAGAAGAAAAAACTCCAAAAACGTAAACTTGTTTTGCGCTCCGCGCGGATTTCTTGGATCTGCGCTGGAACCCCCCTGGCGCGCGGAGCGCGCCAGGGGCGGCGCCGGAGGCGCCGCCGAAGGCCCCAGCGCGGATCCAAGAAATCCACGCGGAGCGCCAACAGCTTACGTGTATGGTGTGTGTGTGTGTGTGTGTGTGTGTGTGTGTGTGTGTGTGTGTGTGTGTGTGTGTGTGTGTGTGTGTGTGTGTGTGTGTGTGTTCTTCTTAAAGGACCAGCCCTCCACGCCCTGCTCGAAGCCCTGGAAGATGCAGAAGTGCAGCCCGCCGGCGCCGGCGGGGCCCCACCCGCGGGGCGGGGAGGCGCTCGGGGCGCCCCCGGCGCCCGCGAGCTCCGCACCCTGCGGCGGGACCTGGAGGAGGCGGAGGCGGAGGAGGAGGAGGAGGAGGAGGAGGAGGGGGAGGAGGAGGAGGAGGAGGAGGAGGAGGAGGAGGAGGGGGAGGAGGAGGAGGAGGAGGAGGAGGAGGAGGAGGGGGAGGAGGAGGAGGAGGAGGAGGCGGAGGAGGAGGAGGAGGGGGGGGACCTGGAGCAGCCGCCTCATGCGGATGCCCGCCTCGCCCCTCTCCAGGGCCAGGAGCATCGCGTTGCAGCTGACGTCGTTGGGCTCCAGCCTCGCCCCGCGCATCTCGCCGAGCAAGGCCAAGGCCCGCTGCCACTGCCTGCCCTTCTCGCACGCGCTGATGCTGGCGCTGTAGCTGACTGGTGTCTACTCGTGGGTAAAATCTACGGCGTGTCGAACCTGGGACTCGCAAGCCGTGGATGTACAGTGGGGGCGTTGACCTAAGGAACGCTCTAAATAAGGAACGAGGCCCCTTTTTCCCATCAGTTAAAGTTCGATTTCCCATCGAAAACCTAAGGAAAACCTAAGGCAAGCTGCGAAACAATCAAGGAACACGGAGCCCCTCCCCAACGAAAAGGGTTCCTTCTTCAGGGCCCCGACTGTAATCCATGGAACAGCTCGTCGAAGCCGAACAGCTCGTCCAAGTGCCAGATCTCGGGGAAGCGTCCAAGAGGGAGGGAGTTGATGGAGGACGGGGGGGAAGATGAGATCGAAGAGATCGGGAATGATGAGCAGGACAAAAAAATCCGCCGACCCTGTCGGCGTGTGTGAGGGGCTTTTCCGTTCGAGCCGTCATCTACGTTATTCTTTGTACTCGTCGTCTCTGTCCTGCGCCCCAGCCGCCCGAGCCGCGCCCGAGCCGCTCGAGCCAAGCCGACCTTGAGCAACGTCGTAATTCAGTCGAAGGGAAGCCCCTTCCCTTTGATCCCTTCCCCGCCGGGAGGGGGGGGGGGCCCCCCCCCGGGTCGATACGACGCCCGCCGACCTTGAGCAACGTCGTAATTCAGTCGAAGGGAAGCCCCTTCCCTTTGATCCCTTCCCCGCCGGGAGGGGGGGGGGTATCGACCCCCCCCCCGGGTCAGATACGACGCCCCCCCCCGTACCGACCTTGAGCAACGTCGTAATTCAGTCGAAGGGAAGCCCCTTCCCTTTGATTCCCCGCCGGGAGGGGGGGGGGTATCGACCCCCCCCCGGGTTACGACGCCCCCCCCCCGTCGAAGCACGTCGTAAAGTCCCCTTCCCTTTGATCCCTTCCCCGCCGGGAGGGGGGGGGGGTATCGACCCCCCCCCCGGGTCAGATACGACGCCCCCCCCCGTACCGACCTTGAGCAACGTCGTAATTCAGTCGAAGGGAAGTCGTAATTCAGTCGAAGGGAAAACCCCTTCCCTTTGATCCCTTCCCCGCCGGGAGGGGGGGCGGGGGTATCGACCCCCCCCCCGGGTCAGACCCCCCCCCGGTTTCATATTTTGTGTGTCCCCCCCCCGTACCGGACCCTTGAGCAACGTCGTAATTACAAGTCGAAGGGAAAGAAACCCCTTCCCTTTGATCCCTTCCCCGTCCCCCGCCGGGAAGGGGGAGGGGGGGTATCGACCCCCCCACCGGGTCCAGATTACGACGCCGCCCCCCCCCCTTACCGACCTTGAGCAACGTCGTAATTCAGTCGAAGGGAAGCCCCTTCCCTTTGATCCCTTCCCCGCCGGGTGGGGGGGGGGGGTATCGACCCCCCCCCCGGGTCAGATACGACGCCCCCCGCCCGTATCGACCTTGAGCAACGTCGTAATTCAGTCGAAGGGAAGCCCCTTCCCTTTGATCCCTTCCCCGCCGGGAGGGGGGGGGGGTATCGACCCCCCCCCCCGGGTCAGATACGACGCCCCCCCCCGTACCGACCTTGAGCAACGTCGTAATTCAGTCGAAGGGAAGCCCCTTCCCTTTGATCCCTTCCCCCGCCGGGATGGGAAAGGTGGTTATCGACCCCCCCCCCCCCGGGTCAGAACGACGCCCCCCACCCCCGTACCGACCTTGACAAACGTCGTAATTTCAGTCGAAGGGAAGCCTGCCTTCCCTTTCCCTTCCTCCGGCCGGGAGGGTGGGGGGTAACGACCCCCCCCCCGGGTCAGATACGACGCCCACCCCCCCGTACCGACCTTGAGCAACGTCGTAATTCAGTCGAAGGGAAGCCCCTTCCCTTTGATCCCTCCCCCGCCGGGAGAAGGGGGGCAGCGGGGGGGGGTAGCGACCCCCCCCCCCGGGTCAGATACGACGCCCCCCCCCCGTACCGACCTTGAGCAACGTCGTAATTCAGTCGAAGGGAAGCCCCTTCCCTTTGATCCCTCCCCCGCCGGGAGGGGGATGGGGGGTAGCGGGGGGGAAGCGACCCCCCCCCCGGGTCAGATACGACGCCCCCCCCCGTACCGACCTTGAGCAACTCCCTTCCCCAGGTCGAAGGGAAGCCCCTTACCCTTTGATCCCTTCCCCTCCGGGAGGGAGGGGGGTACGACCCCCCCCCCTGTCAGTACGACGCCCCCCGCCCCGTACCGACCTTGACAACGTCGAAATATCAGTCGAAAGGAAGTGAGGCCCCTATCCTTTCCATCACCCCGCCAGGAGGGGGGGGGGGTAGCGATCCCCCTCCCGGGTCAGATACGACGCCCCCCCCCGTACCGACCTTGAGCAACGTCGTAATTCATTCGAAGGGAAGCTTCTTCCCTTTCCCTCCCCCGCCGGGAGAGGGAGGGGGGGTAGCGACCCCCCCCCCGGGTCAGATACGAGCCCCCCCCCCCTTTAACTGACCTTGAGCAACGTCGTAATTCAGTCGAAGGGAAAGCCCCTTCCCTTTATCCCTTCCCACCTTCCGTGAGGGGGGGGGGGTATCGACCCCCCCCCGGGTCAGATACGACGCCCCCCCCCCGTACCGACCTTGAGCAACGTCGTAATTCAGTCGAAGGGAAGCCCCTTCCCTTTCCCTCCCCCGCCAGGAGGAGGAGGGGGGGTAGCGATCCCCCTCCCGGGTCAGATACGACGCCCCCCTCCCGTACCGACCTTGAGCAACGTCGTAATTCAGTCGAAGGGAAGCCCCTTCCCTTTCCCTCCCCCGCCGGGAGGGGGAGGGGGGGTATCGACCCCCCCCCCGGGTCAGATACGACGCCCCCCCCCCGTACCGACCTTGAGCAACGTCGTAATTCAGTCGAAGGGAAGCCCCTTCCCTTTCCCTCCCCCGCCGGGAGGGGGGGGGGGTATCGACCCCCCCCCGGGTCAGATACGACGCCCCCCCCCCGTACCGACCTTGAGCAACGTCGTAATTCAGTCGAAGGGAAGCCCCTTCCCTTTGATCCCTCCCCCGCCGGGAGGGGGGGAGGGGTAGCGCCCCTGGGCTCCAGCCAAGCCGACCTTGAGCAACCTCGTAATTCAGTCGAAGGGAAGCCCCTTCCCTTTGATCCCTCCCCCGCCGGGAGGCGAGGGGGGGGTAGCGGGGGGCGGTAGCGACCCCCCCCCCAGGTCAGATACGACGCCCCCCCCCCGTACCGACCTTGAGCAACGTCGTAATTGAGTCGAAAGGAAAGCCCCCCAGCCCCTTCCATTCCTTTCCCTTTCCCTTCCCCGACGAGGGGGGGAGGTGGGGTCCCGGGGGGGGTCCCAGGGGAGTCCCGGGGAAGTCCCGGGTCAGATACGACACCACCCTCCCCCACCTTCTCGTCCTTCTCCCCGTTCCCCAAAACCATCCCACAGCCCGTGCCTCTTGCTGCGCATTGCGAACAGGGTCGGCGGCACCGGCCGTAAGGCCTTCGCAATATGGTGAAAAAGAAACCAGCCTGGCAGCCTGGGGGAGGCCCCAATGCTTGCGCGGCCAAGCAGAACCCGAAAACTTCCTCGCGTGTCCTGTGAGGTGGCGTGAAATGCATGGGGCTGTTGGTGATTTTCTGACGGCGGCGTCCCGGGAGGCCCGTGTGAACGGCGCGGTCGGAACCCCACCGATGAGCAAGAGCAGCATGTTAGAATCCTTTGGGAACGATCTGTGTGGCGCGCGGGGAAGCATCGGGTTCCCGAGGGATTCCGAAGAACACGAGAGGACCGAAGCAGTGAAAGCCTCTGGCGTGGAGCAGGGCGACGCGAGCAAAACGAGGGTGCTGTATGATAACGAGCTGCAGCGGCGATGGGAAATGGCGGCAACAGTCGCGGCAGCGGCGGCAGCAAGGGCGGGAACCGCCCCTTATGCTCGTAGGCGGTGCTGCTGATGGTGCACTCGCCATCCTCATTGAAGTGCGCCAGAGCGTGGCAGTGGCCGATTGTCGATGGCAATATCAGGCCTGCCTTGGTCCGTCTGGGGGGGCTCTTGGGCCGTCTTGGAGCCATGTTGGGAGCTCGGAGCTCCTTTTGGGCCCCCCTGGGCAGGTCTTGGGGCCCTACTGAAACTGTTTTGGGTGGCATTCGAGACTCTGGTGGGCCGTCCTGGGGCTCTCGTCGGCCATCTTGGGGCCTTCTTGGCCCGTTCTGGGGCCCTTTTCTGTGACTCTTGGGCGGTGTGAGCGCGATCTGGGAAGGCCCTGGAGCCGTCTGGGGCCATCCTTGGGCCGAAACTAGAACATGAAAACCCTTCAAACTTTCAGGAACATCGATTATTTGGGCCCCCTTTGTGCAATCGTCGGGGTCACTTTGGGACGTCTCGGGAGCTTCCGGGTTTGGTTTCAGACCTCTTGGGCCGTCTTGGGGCTCGCCTGGGGTCCTCTTGGGCCGTGCGCGGGGCTCGCTTGGGGTCCTCTTGGGCCGTGCGCGCCCTGTTGAGCGCCTCTGAGCCGTCTTAGACCGCCTGGCAGCCTTCGTGTGGCCATCCAGGGCCGCCCCAGAATAGCCAACGACCGCGTGAGGCCGCCCTGGGAGCTCCAGGAGCCACTGGACTGCCGGCCGCACTCGCACGCGCTGATCGCGGTATCGTCATATAGATGACGTTCGGCTCCAACATGGCCTCCCGCATCTCGCTCAGCAGCGCCAGGGCGGACTGCCACCGATCGCCTTTCTCGCACGCGCTGACACCAGCATTGTAGCTGACTGGGGGGAACCCGTGGACTACGTCCACGAAAGCTTGGCGGGGTCTGGGCGGAGATGTAGCCGACAGGCCTTCAAGATGACGTTGCCGCCGTGCGAGTCGCCGCCGCCGCCGCCCTCGTGTTCGTCGTCGTCGTCGTCGTCGTCGTCGTCATCGTCGTCGTCGTCTTCGTCGTCGTCGTCATCGTCGTGGCCGTCATGGCCATTATCGACGGGCCGTTGTCTTCGTCGAGCTCGTCGTCGTCGCCGCTGTCGTCGTCGTCGTCGGCAACGTCGCC